ATTTTTCGTCACACGATTCAGGAGAAAAAATATTATTTTATTCTCCGAGACACTCAGTTACTCCCTCGAGGTTTTCAGCTTTGGTAAACAGCAGAACTTATTACAGAGAAGTTCTTCATATTATGTATTTTGCATTACAGTTGTTATAAGTACGAAACTTACCAAATGTTAAATCTCACAAAGATAAGCAAAGAAGAAAATAAAACTTGTATTCATTATAAACAAGAGAAAGTATCTGGCGAAATTTCTCTTTTATCTGCACTTTTAGTTGGTTACTTTTCTTATGTATTTTACTAGCCAAAACGAAGGAATGCGTTTTTGCGCGACATAACTGTCTCACTTCTCATTTCCTCCAAGAGACCTACACCTTGACCAGAACACTACGCCTTAACGTAACCAAGGTTCCCCCCACCTTTAAGGTATAGTACTTAATAGTTTTTTTCCATACATATTGGCTCCAGAGAAGAGAAACATTCTATTTACTTAATGTTTTTAACACATACTGTACTGGCATCTCGATGGCTAACCCATGATGCGCTTATCGTGAAATTATTAGTCTAAACCATGCATCCACCACATCTTCTCTCGTTCTGCTGTTTGTTTGTTTTTATAATTTGATATATCGACAATCAATTCATTGCCTTTTTTTGAAAATAGGGGAAACTTGGAGGCACATTCATGCTGTTCAATCAGGAGCAGTTCTGCGTTTTCTGCGCCCAGGCGGTAGTGGTCGTGTCATGAGCTAATCACTGCTGACTCAATGGACCAAGGCATCCACTAGTTATTGAACTTGAGGCTGAACTTAACTTCTTTTCAATATCGACATTTAGTTTTAATTTCGTGTGGATATATTTAGAAGAGATACAATAGTAACTCCAAGTTCAAGACGCGACGCATCTGTTGTTGTAAACGTAATTCTAGAAACTTTGTCGCTCAACTGTTCTTTGTTTTTGTTTTCTTTTTAATCCTTCTGTTGCTTTTTGTCGAACGCGTTTTTGAGGAATCGATTTGATTGGTTCTACAGCAGTGTACTTATTTTGTTTACATTTTCTGGCAAAAAGGAATTTTCAGTGAGGCCTCTTTTCTTATCATTTTGTCTGCGCGTTATGACTATCTTAGGCCACTGCATTTATGCGCGTTTTTTATCATTTTTTTTAAAGTTGAACCTATTTTTCAAATTTTTTTAGTAGTTATGCGTGGAAAACTAAGACCCATCCGTGATATCCTTTAAGTATGTTGGTGAAGCGGAAGGTTTTATAGCCTGTGGCTTGCGTTTTCAAGGGGCATCTATCAGTCCTACACGTATACAAATAGAAATTGATGTGTAACTTTTGTATTTTGCTGAAATAAAGTGTTTGCGCAAATAGGAGTCCGTAGTCACTGCTTAGGTAGAAACCGCCTCACCTGACGGGGTACAAGATGTTGAAGTCTTGCGATGTAATATGCTTTAAACCAAATATATGCCTATGTAGATGGCGTCTCGAGCAAAGCATTAAATGGGCAATTAACAAACCCTGGTTTTTCCCTCCGTAAACGAACGGTATATTTTCCAGAAAGGACTGGCTTTTAGGACTACTGCTCGAGTTTCGTGATTGAGCGATACATTCCCTAACGTAAAAATGAGCTAGAAGCATATTGCAAGGAGATTATGATAGGTGAGTGTCCTGTGGACCCGCACATTGATAAGTGAGTGTCCTGTGGATCGCACATAACGTTTAGGCTAAGCTCCGCACCCGAAAGCTCACTTATCTGGTGTTAAGTATAGTAGGCTGAAAATGAAATGAGGATGGAACGAAAAAAACAGCTTAAGAGACAGCGCTGTCGGGTCACCTGATCATTATAATCTAAAGAACAGTAAACACTCGGGCTGTTGGTCTCCTTTTATGAATTGATTATCTTGAAATATGGCCAAAGGTCTGCTATTTTTTTTCGAAACAGTTATTACTTGAGTTTCTCGGAAAAAGAAAAGAAAAAAAGTGAATCATCAACAAGTGATACGTTATCGGAAGAAATACTTTACTACAATATACTTTTGTTTTGATGTTTTCCAACATCAAAACATTGGAAGCTTTCTTCTCCTTCTCATTTCCACCAGCAGGAAAGTTTCATAATTTTGAGTGATAATCGCAAATATGGTCTTCCCTTCCTCTGAAAAACAACTCGCCGTCCAATTCTGACATAAATTCGTATCCCCGAGGAGGCATCAATCGACATCAAGAATATCTACCGCTGTTAGAAACAAGCACAAGTTGGAAGCAGAACACAATAGGACCTCAAGAGGGACGGATGACCAATTCGTAAGAAAAACATACGAAGTTGATAGAATTAGAATTATGATTTGGTAAATTTCTATTCCATTTGTAATATAAAGGGAGAGGTTATTCGTTTGAACGCGAGCGTGAGACGAAGAGAAAATTCTATGCGGAATCGAACCTCGTCCAACCAAAAGCGTAGACAATAAGGGGCTTTGGAAAGATAAACGCAGTTTGTTCAAAAGCTACGGGAAGCTACAGATTTAACTGAAGCAAAAACACCGTGACCAATACGCTGTTTCGGTCACTCTTTTACAATTTTGAAAAAATCAAATTTTAATGATTATTTTTATTGATGATCACGATAGACTTTTGTAATAATAGTAGGGGAGTAAAAGAGCCCTACATGTGGAATACAAGGAGTTAAAATCATCATGAAAAATTTCTACTATTCTCTAATCGCTCCATGTTTTATTACTTTTTTGACATGGTGCAATCAGATTTACCTCAGAACTACTCTGCCATATGATAAACGAGCATTTTTTTTTAAAAGGAGGCCATTATCCTGCTGCGCGCGTTACAAAACGTGTACAAATAATAGCTCAACGACGAAGACTCAGTACTACGGCGAGGAATACCAGACAACGTTATTGCAATTAGGTGTAAATCAAGGGGTGAAATTGAGCAGGACATTTCTATCCCAAAAACAACTGCATCCGATACAGTTAATTTTGGGATAGCGTTGTACTCCTTTCTACCTGAGCAAAGAAATTTCGAAAGTCTCCCTTACGAGTTATGTAAGAACGGGAACAGCGGGTATATACGCCATGGCTGAATGCCAACAGCGATGAGACCTGGAAACCTCAAAACTCGTTACCAGTCCTTCCAGAGCCTTAGGTCAACAAAAATGGCGAGATGACGTTCGTGGAAGTGTTGAAAGTGGTACTTTCATTTCGATAGCAAGAGTAGTTGCTTCAAAGAAAGGCAATAATGGCTGATCGGAATAGAACACGATCCAAAATTTACGAGACGTTAAATAACCCTGAACTTCGCTGTAAAACGGGGTAAGTGTGTGATTCACATCCGCTTGTGCTGTCATGAGCATTTTCAATTCATCTAATGTTCATGTAGTTCAGATCTTCGAAGTCATCATTTTCGCAAGTTCACGACGTTAAACGTATAGGTTCCTTTACGTAACGTTTATCTATGCATGTTGAGAAGAGGATATCTGCACGAGGGTCCTTGCGATCGTAGAATCGAAAAATACTCCTAACTAGGGTAAAGGTTGATTTCTGAGAGAAGAGAAACGATTTTTCCCTATTTCCTGTACATTTTTCGTTTCGTTTTGGAAGAGCTACATGATATTTGTTCCCGGCGCTCAAAATTTTTCAAAATTATTTTCAGTCGCTTACAAGTTTTCATGGCCTCTTATTAGTATTATAGATGTCTGGAAGTGGTAAAATGACCACAAAAGATGGGTTTTGTTGTATGGTATTCATGGCCTCACGTTGCGTTACGTTGAAATACTGTGAGAATAGCAGTGAAATTTGACCTCTCATGACTCTCATGTGATCTGATGTAATTCTGGATGGTAAAATTTATTGAAACTATCGTTTACTACACTTTTGCATCTTTTGATATTTCTGCTGTCCTCTTTTCAAATTTACCTTTTCAATTGATGTTAACTCCTTTAGCTTTCATAGAAAGAAATGTGTTTATTGTACGATGTTTTAGATTCAATATCGTTTGAGCATTTAAACAAGTTATATTTTATCGTCATCAATATTGGTTCAATTAATATATAAAACTGTTATTTGTACATTTATTACCAGGCATGGTAATATGTTGAACAATATTGTTATGATACAGGACTCAAAACTGTTGTGGTGTGGCTAATGCAGTTTTTGAATGCAACTATTCTAAATGTAATAAATATATCTTTAATGTCAATCTTAGTTCTGGTCTGGTCTCCAAATTTACAGCTGAATTAATCCTTGAATTGAAATTTCTTCGCAGAGAGAAAAAAAAAATTTGTGTACTCACATCTTAAAAAAATGCTACTTGAACTTACCAGTACATGTATTTACATGTTAACAAAGTTTTTCATTGTGTTGTGGTCTTCAATTTGTGTACATACATGTTACTCAGTCTGTTAAACAAGTGTTTTCACTGTAGTGAAATATTCTGTTTATATGACTGTGTAGATACTGTAAACAGTCCAAAATTATTATGCAATTGTGACTGTCCAAATTGTACATGAAATTAACTTGGCTTAGGATAAGGTGCATAAAAATATATATCCTCTTTAGGGAAAAATTTAAAGTGTATAATAATATTATACATGAAGAGACTCTAGTCAAGTTACTTTGGGTTCTTTATATAATTGATGTGAAAAATGTGCTAATAAACTTGATTTGCCTTTTCGTAGTTGTGGTTTCTATGGAAACCCAGCATGGAGAGGTTACTGTTCAGTATGCTACAGAGAGGTGTATCTTAAGCAGCAGAGGGCACGAGCTGCATCACATAGCAGAGAAGATGCGTTATCTGGTGGCTCTCACAATTTCCAAACAGAGGGTATAAAGCTTGATATTCTGTGATTCATTCATCGTCTTTGATTTCTGTATCCTGTTATAGTATTTACTAAAACAGGGATAGATATCCTTTGCTATTCATCTTTGCACAACCTGCACAGGATTTGTGCTTGAAAATAATGTTGAAATCATCTTTTTGTGCTGTGCTATCTCACTATTTTTAGTAAATACTAATTAAAACAACTATTCACTTCAGTGTTGGTAGTGAGTGGTGGATATTAATCTTGTGGCCTGGCAGCTCGGTAAATAAACACCACTACCCACCTCACTAGCCTTATTCACTCTGGTGAATAGTTGTTAATAAACTATAAATCAGTGAATCATGTATATTTAACTGAGGGTCTGAATGTCTCCTCTTTTTTTTGCCTCTCACCTGGTGGTTATTGATATTAAATAGCTTTGAAAAGGGACGAAATCTATTAGCAGTGGTTTAAAAGGATTTCCTAGTGGAAGCTAATAGTGCTTTTCAAAAGAAACTTAATTCAAATCTGCAAATGAGGGCAGAAAAAAAAATTAAAATTTTTTTTTCTGTTTTCACCATCAATGGTAACTATAAGGTCATTCGTAAGCATGCATTCACACTCTATAACACCATCCTTACAGTTTTTGTTATTGTTATTGAGTGCTTTGAATTTCCTTTGTAGTGGGGCATGAGGAGGAAGAATCAGGAGGAAAACTCAAGTTCAACAAATTTGAAGAAAAAAAGAGGTTCCAGTTAGAATCAAAAAAGTAAGAGTTAATACTGGTGTGCATTTGTATGCTTGTTTTGACTAAAATGTAGAAATTGATTCATGGGGAATCTGATTTTTTTTCAGTAATTTCTGTTATTCAATGTTTATCAAGATAACTTAAAGTTGACTGAGGTGATCAGAAAATTGTTCATTTACCTGATATGGCTCTAGCCAGAATCAGATCTTCCATGGACTAACCAGCATGGAATTTAGATTCTTCTTTATGATTACCTTTATTTAAACCTACAGTAGATTTTAGTGTTATATTTTACTAAACATTAAACCACACTGACTTGTATCAGTAATTATTTAATGTGTAATTTGTGTCTTGACAGACAAAGTGTCAAGAAATTATTCAAAAAGAGTCCAGGCAGATCTTCTGTACCAGATGCTGCAAATTTATCCCCATCTCAAGGTGAGCTCTGATGGTGTGCATTGCCATTGTTCTTGGAAAGGGTATTTCATATGGTTCTTATTGTTTTGTTGTTAAAATCGTGTAAGATAGAGTTTCTTAGTCTCTTGTGTGTAGAACAACATTCATGCACATGTGCTTAAACCACAGTCTGCTTGATTGGATCTCTTTATTTGCACGAGTTTTGCAGAAGTCAAATAATTTTGAGTAAGGCCGGTTTTCACATGTTTCACTCTGTTATGCCAGGGACAGGGGGTTCATTCAAGCCTTCCCACTGGCTTGTTTTAAATTTGCTGTTTACAAATGTTGGCTTGATAGCTAAGACAGACATGATATACACAGCAGTGGCTTTTTTTAATATTGTCCATCAAAATTGTGTCAACTTACAGGTGTTGATAAGCATCATGACTCTCCATATAAGGAAAGAAGATCGTGTTCAAATGCAAAGCTTGCTACATATTTTTCACTCACAAATTTTTCATATTGGTAGTATTGTAATTATTTTGTCCCTTCTGATAGTAGTCTTGAATTAACCCATGATGGGCTTGTTTATGGTAAATTGTAATCTCCTATAGTTGAGCCTGAAAAGAGTGTTTCAAGTTTCCGGGATTTCCTAAAGACCCTCAGGAAACCAGCAGCACAAGATGTCAATGACAAATGCAAAGTGTGAGTAGTTTTGATTGTTTTAAAATTCATCTATTTTCAAAAGTTGTAAAAAGTGGTTTTATTGATGTGTGTTCTAGTGGTTCATTTTTTATCTCTTTGTTCGTCTGCATTTTAATCCAGAGTGTCCCTCAGCAAATATCAATCTTGACCAGTTTTTTGCCAGTTTAACTTTTTTATGTGAAACTTAGATTAATGTACTTAATTATTTACAGACAGCTATACGTCTGTTTTATTGGCTACTTATCTGATGTAGTAAATTTTATTAATAGTACAGGTAACCTTTTAAAACAGGTTGGCTGAGTGTTTAAGGTGTTGGAATACATTTTGGTGGCCCCATGTTCAAATTCAACCATAATTTATAGTTTGAGTTATCTTATGAATATCAATTCTGCTCCTTACTCACATTTACAAAATAGTCACATGGTCTTCTTTCACCTAACTGAGATTTTGGTTGTCACAAGGGCAGATTATCTCCTACTGGTTCATCAGGAACTGTGACATCTCTCTAAATTCATTTCTTTTTTCTTTTGACAGGTTTGTTCAGAGCATTTTAAACAACCCATCTCTGAAGGTGGAAGAACAGAGTCAGTTGGTTCATGACTTTTATGGGGTGAGTTTTTAGCACATGAAGGACACTTGAAACAAAAGAAACAAACAAACAAAACGCATAGTGAATGGTATGTTTGATTTTGAATTATTTCAACCTATATTAATATTGCTTCATTTCTTTAACTGTTATCCATTTTAGGCAATGTCAGAGCATCTACAGTCCCATCAGTTGTTTCAAAATCAGCCACAGGAAGTGATTGACAGAACATTGGATGGCGTAGAAAAACACATCATGACAAAGTTGTATAGAGTGTATGTACATGTACAATGAAAGCTGTTCTTTTAAAGGGAACAACTTACTGGGTTTTGTGTCATAGAGATAAGGAAATGTTTATTCTGTTGTATGATCTGAGGATATCCTCTATCTGAGCTTGAGTAAAATCACCACACTCCATCAATGTTTAGCACTCAATGAAGAAGGAAAAATGTTTATCTTTTATTAGTATTAAAGTGATTCAGCATGATTGAAAGAGAGAAAGATTTTCTGGAACATTTTGAATGTAACTGTACTAACTTAAGTAAACTGTCATGAAAAAAGTTTTGCTGCTTTGCATTATTCTGCATTTGGTGGTAAATGTACATCCATGTTATTTTCAGCCATTTTACACTTTACACCCAAACATCAGCGTGGATTTTCTCTATACTTTTTTTCATACATTTCCTAAGGTTCTGTTTAGGAGAATTTGGTGATCATCTCTTCTATTCTTTATGACCTTAACATTTAATTCAAGGGGGTGATATTTTAAAGAGAAATTAGATGCTGGCCATACTTAAGGATCAAAGGGCTATGACCTTCTGTACATGTTGACTTGACAAACTTGAAATTTAACCAGCAGCTTGTACGTTAATTTTGCAGTGTTTTCTGTCCAGCTTCTACGGATGATGAAGCTAGAGATTTGGCAAATCAAAAGCGTATAAGAAGTTTTAAGTGGATAACTCCTCAGCATCTAGATGCTGCTATAAATCCTAACAGTGACAAGGTACAGCAGTTGATTGAGGAAGCACAAGAAGGTATGATTCATTTTCGTGTAATGTCTGTGGGTATTTCTTTCAGAGCTTGTGTTAGTTGGGGAAGTTGTTGTGGCAAGTGCTTATTAAGTTTTGTAATTACCATATTGGGTTATGAAGATTAAATGTGGAGTGGGTAAAGAGGTGTACATGTATTAGAGAGCTGGTAGGTGAGAATGATTGGTTCTTTTGCTATATGCTCTATTTGATTTAACTAATGCATTGTGGTGGCTTCAAATCTTACTGCCTGAAAATACCCCTGCTATGCAGGATACAGCAAGTAGTCATTAGAATTAGAATGGTGGCCTGTGTCTATTCACCTTGCTCTTATCAAAGAAATTCAAAGAGGACTAAGAGTCATTATGTTTGGAAAGAGGATGGATCTACATGTCCATTATCAGGCCAAGTGGTCAATTAGAAGTGATAACGTTAAAGTTAAAATGAAGCACCTCAGAAAAGCAATTACAATGATATAAATTAATTGTGAAGAGGTGATTACATAATTATACTAATTGTTTTAAGCAAATGAAGATCATCGCAGTATATACTCAACTTAAGCAGTTGAGAAATAAGGCCTGAAAAAAATTCAGGCCTGAACGGGAATCGAACCCATGACCTCTGCGATACCGGTGCAGCGCTCTAACCAACTGAGCTATCAAGCCAACTGGGAGCTGTTCAATTGTGAGTTCGTTATATACCCGTAGATGGAGAAGGTGTGATAAGAATACATGAAAGTCATATATTTGTACTGCGGAAAATACATATACTAATTGTCTTTGTTCATGACTTTTGTTTTTTTTCATAGCTTAGTTTTTTTTCTTATCATAGCTTTTGTTACCTTTGTTAACTAGTCTTGTTGTGAGAAAGACTTTTTTCCCTGATCTGATGAAATATTTGGTAGCAGAGTGGTAAAGTGCCTTCTGTAGGATCAGGATATTAATTTTTTTGTTGTTGTTATGTCCAACCAACAGTGTACGTGAAGGTTCATCCTTTTAGCCTCAGAATCTC